GAGACCCTGTAAAAGGTTTCACATGTGAAATGGCAAAAACGCAAGAATCCTTTTGTCCCACCCATGCAGCGTTTCGCTGGTTCGCAACAAGTTAACTCTTGCTAGTACTCAGCTACATGATTCCCCAAATGTCAATTATTTTTTCAAAGACTTATTCAAGAGGCTTGCACCTATTTCCAAGGCCTATTACAATGACAAAGGCCGAATTTTTATATAGCACAGTACCGATTCACTTATCCATCTCAACGATTATAGATCTCCCCCCCCCCCTCTTCGCTTGTGTCCGCGTCAAAGTCTGAAACGGAATACACGAAGAGTATAGACATTTATAAAAAATACTAAGGCATATTGTTCTCAGAGTTAGGTGTAGACCCGCTTTAAGCGTACTTTTTCGCACCTACATGCAAATTCGTCAACTTTACGCCATTTCGCTTACGAGAAGTTAAAAACACTGCTATCGCAATGCCTGGTTTATGAACATATCTACACTTAGTATCTATTCTATATATATATATATATATATATACATTCTATCCTGATTATAATATATATATATATATATTACAACATGCTAGTATAAACACGGTCATTTATTTGGCAGAGCTGTCTGTGGGCAGTGCCAGGCAGCTAGTACTTATACATACACGGCTGCTTCGCAGTTCCATGGGCCAACATGAGAAGTTCAACGCAATGAGCACTGTGTCGTTCAATGACTATGAGTCATTAACATTACACGACCTGAACACCGAGCCCACACCGAACTTGGTGACTACGAGGCACTATAGCCACAGCCAAAATATCCATTGTGCCCCTAATATGATTGTCACTGATGTTCATGTTAACATGTTGATTTTTAAAGTAAACATATTTTATTCGCGAAGAGTACTAACTTGCATACACACCACAAAGAGCGTCAATAACCAGTAAGAAGAAACACAGTTCTTGCTGCCAACCTTTATATATATTACAAACTCCATAAAACCCAGAACTGGTGCCGACAGGACCTCCTCCCAGTCAGCTCAATCAATGCCTTCTCCACTCTCGAGAGAAAACACACCCATTTCCCCGCTTGGCTGCCGCCCTCACCGCCGCGTCCCGAAAACGTTGTCTCACCATGCAAACCTTATTGTACGCACACTACCAGCTCCGAAGGTGGCTACGCCGACACAAGCCCTCATCGTACAATACGCCCGCCCCTCCCCTGCCGGTAACCCTCCCACAATCAAACGCATGCCTACGCCACACAAGCTTCGTCGCTACGCACATTAGCCACCAAAGTCTTCCAGCATCGACCGTGACAAGACGCAGGAAGTGTTTCAGCTCGCCACACCCCGTCCGCGTTACCGTCCGCGCGGCAGACCGCACGCGCCTCGTTTCAACGGTCGCCGCGTTGCTACAGCAGCCGCCACTAGTCGCGCCCCGCCGGCGGCTAAGCCTCGATGACGCAGGCGCCGAGGCGTAGGTGCGAATGTCCGCCCGCCTAGCATCCTGAGCGCCAGTCAGCAGCGGCCCCCCAGCGTGACTCGTCGCCCCGAGCTAAGCCGTGAGCGCACTTGGGAGCGTCCCGGCGGCCACGCGCCCGTAGGCCGATGGATCATCTCGAGCAGAAGCCGGATAGACTTTTGAACGCGGTAGGAGAGTAGCGCTTGAGTAGGAGCGCTCGCGCCGGCGGTCGCCGCCCGTTCCAACGGTGGTAGTGACTGCAGCAGCGCCGACCACGTCGCGGACTCGACTGCAGCCGCCCCCTAGCGCGTGCACGCGCAATCGCCGCTCCCGTGGCAGAGCTAGCGCATTTTGCACTGGTCGCAGTGAGGGCCTGCCGGAGCGCTTCGCGCGTCCAACTGACGGTCATCGCCCCGCCGCCATTCGTGCCGCAGCGCCCCCTGCTCGTGCCGTTGCGCGCAAGTCGCTCTGCAGTCTCGTCGAATTGTAAGCGCGGCCCTCATCCGTGTTAAACCATCGGCTGCGGCGCAGATCGCGCGCGACGCACGGCCCCCTTGCGCCAAAAACGCGGTTGTTTCTCCACCGGACCGCATGCTCAAGCGTGACGCGTCGAAACCCGCGTAGCCAGGCGGTATCAGGGAAGCGCGCGACAGACTCTGTAGTTCGTGCGAGCGATGACCGTGCTCTCAGGCCCTGACGCCGCTTTGCTGCGTCGTTCCCAGTCGCTGCAGGCGAGCGGCCGCCGCCGATAGTCGCCTCGCGCAGTGAAGCGCCGTTCATTGAGGTGCTGCCAGGACGCCGTACGTCGTCAAGCTTCCCGGCTGGCGTAAGCCCGACCGAGCCGGATGATACGGAAATGGGAGGAAACTGTCGCGCAGTGGTGGCGCCCGGCCTTGGCCAGCGCAGCGCGGACGTGGCGCGCGCGAACTCCTCAGCAGAGGGGCCTCCTTCACGTGCGTGCAAGTCACAGACAATGCGTGGTTCGGAGGTCGCGCCAGGGGAGCAGGGCCGCCTCCGATCGCCGTGCCGCGATCACAAATGTGTGACGTTGACGCAGGCGCTGTAAACATCGGACGTGAGCCTCTCGTCGCCCGTCACGGCACCTCACCGGATTACAGTTACTCTGCGGATGCGACGCCACGTGCGGTTCCCAGCGGCCGCCCGTGACTCGCGCAGTGCAACGCTCCTCAAGCGACAACCCTACCGGTGGCGCCGCCTCTCCTGCTGCCTCCACGACCTCGCATGACGCAGCGAAAAGAATGATGCTACCGCGCGCAACCAGACGGCAGGTTGCCGCCCAGAATAGGGAACGGTTCCGGTGGCCGTGAACGAGTCCCATTGTACGAGGGCTGTGGCGCAAAGTACGTCTCGATCCATCTGCCACATAGAGCGACGTCATCGCCTTTAAAGCGGCAAAAAGCATGAAATATTTATGATATTACATATATACCTAATTATTACACTATATATGATCTACACATTTATTGGGTGCCAGCACACACGCAGCAGTTCAATGCCGTGTTCTAATTATATCATATAGTACGCAATAAGCGCCTACATGTCACATGCCAGCACACGCCACTAGACATCAGTGATTAGAAATATGACATATTTTATTAGCCTTTTCTTACTATCGCATAATTCCAGCGAATCCTTCAACTACAACAAGTTCAAGTAGTGAAAGTACAACTACAAAGCTATACCTATACTAGCTCTAGTACTATAGCCCGCTTACATTGACTGCCGCCAGCGGCAGTCAATGTAAGCGGGCTATAGTACTAGAGCTATACCTATACTTATAGACCTAACCTAAGTATAAATAATATTTGTTTACAGTCGTTGCCATACGTTGATAACTTGATTGAATTTAAAGTCTCAACTCAGTCTGAAACCTGAAACGTGGGTAAACGTGCACAAAACGATAAAATCTAACCTATACTACAGCACATCTGCAAAAATAATATTATGAATAATAAAAGACACAGTGTCAGTGCCACACGAGCTATTTTTGGTCATTCGCTTTTTCTACAATGCGCCACCTATGGGCGTTTATGTTACTTAATTTACCTTGTTATATTTACCTTGTTATATATTTCCTTGTTATATTTTCTTTGTTATAGCTCACACTTTTTATAGCGGTACTGCACTAACAGTGTGGAGCTTATATTGTTTATTTTACCCATGCACCGTACAATGTGCTGTCGTAAAATCTATGTTCATTTTTTTTACAGTTCTCTAACATCTACTCTACAGGAGGGTCCTACAGTAGTTCAGAGAGACGAGCAGTGGTTGCCAAGTTAAAACGCCGTATGAGTGCGTGATAGAATGGTATTGCTAACATTATGGACAAGACACCTATACCCTGCCGTAAAGATTCCCATCTGCTCACTGCAAGGCAGCCGGAGAGACGTATGCATTCATACTTGCACAGCTGGCTCTTAGAATATAGGCTAGCAAGCATGCATGATCACACATAATGACATATGAAGTATGGATCGATCATATTGCAGTAATTCTATTGCATGATTTTTGAGTTGTGTACGTTCTCCCAAATCGCTGCCTGCATGTGTGGTGTTGCTATATATATATATGTTGACCAGTACAGTTTCTTCACATAGGCAGCGAAGATTCATGCACCACGTCAGCGTCCCTCGCCGACTGCATCCGAAAAGCTCGGTCCGAGTTAGCAACTTCATTACCAGGAGGGGGAGCCACCTGCAGTGAAGCCGGCGGGGGTCGCAGGCTGCATGTAGTGCGCCATGGAGAGAGGGTCGACTTTACGTTCGGTGGCGACTGGTTCCTTGAAAATTGCTTCGACTCATCGGTAGGTTGAGCGATCTCATGGTATCGGACATATCTTGTGACAAATCCCCACGTTAGGCACGACTCCAATTCATGAAGGTGAACGAACATATATTATATAGCCACTCATGTAGATATACAGGCAATCAAGATACTATAACTGTTATAGTAGGCCACTCCACCGCAACGCCCTCTACAGGCGACCCACTTCGTCTGTCCGCCATTTGTTGTTGCAGGGAAACTACAGGGTTCTTGACGCGAACCTGCCGACAGAAATCCCGCGCCGCGCCGGCGCCCCCGCGACCTTCGACCGCGACTGTCCCCTCACCAAGGTCGGCGTCGCACAGGCTGCAGCAACCGGGGTTGCGATGTCGGACGCCGGAGTCGCGATCACCCGCGCTTACTCATCGCCCGCGCTACGCTGCGTGCAGACGGCGCGCGAAATACTCGCCGCGCTCGGAGTCGACCGCCAGGTGGCGCTGCGGATCGAGCCGGCGCTGTTCGAGTGGATGACGTGGTTCCGGGAGATCCGACCGACGTTTCTGACCGCTGCGGAGATGCTGGACTTTGGTTTCAACATCGACACGTGCTACGAGTCGATAATGGAGGTGGGTATAGTGACGAATGCAGAGCAACGTATTAGCCAGCGAGCCGTGCAGTCGTGATTTGCACGGTCAGTTTTGAAAATGCACGGCCAAAAATGTGTAGCACGGCCTAAAATATTGATCTAAAGACGTGTACATTTGTAAAATTGCACTCCCAAATATTTTTTCTGCACTCCCACAATACTCATTCCTGGCTAATACCCTGATGCAGAGTGATACAGTGAGCCTCCTCTCTCCTCACTATAGCTATCTGTACCTCTAACCTCACCCAATAAACCTGCTCTCAAACATGCTAGCTATCTCTACTTCTCACCATCTATCATCAATGTCGTTTACACTCGATCTGCACGACCGAAGCCTTCTCTCTCCGTGCTAGCCACAGCAAGTCAGGCTAACGCACGCATTTCAAAGATGCATTGCGGAACTTTTAATCGCATGTATAGTGATTGTAGATTTATCTACAGTCTACATAAATATTAAATGATTTTAAATCGCCACGCATAATCATGAGTTAGAAATATGATTATTTACTCCTGACACCCCGTGCCCGGGGGGGAGGGGGCACTCCATATATATTGCATGGTAGGTATGTGCTGCGGGAGAGACCCCCCTTTTTCACCCTAAACTTCCATTCTAGTACATCACATTTTTAAGAATATCTCGTTCCAGAGCATCACAAGTTTACATTTTCGAACATAGCCAGTTCCAGAGCATCCCACATTCAACAAACATTAGTTCCAGAGACCCCCATTTTCAGGTCTGAGTTAGTTCCAGAGCCCCTCATTTTTGACTTCGCAGTGGCACATACCTACCATAATGTGGGGTGAGTGCCCCCCCCCTCCCCCGGGACCCCGTGTGAGGATGAAATAATGAGTCCCTGTGTGTTGCACACGCGTACGTTGTGCATGTGTACAGGACAGAGAGCTTCACATTGACGAGACGTTGGACGAGTACTACGCCCGCAGCCACCGCGTCATGCGCGCCATCGTCGCCGCGGCAACGCACGACGACGACGACATCCTCGTCGTCGCTCACGGCGCATCGCTCGACGTACTTACGCGCAACCTGATTGGTCGGCTGAGCCGCGACGAGCAAGAGTTCCAGCGGGTGCTGTCGAGAACGCCCTACTGCAGCGCCGCCGCGTGCGAGCAGACGCCCGACGGATGGAGGCTGGTGGCGCCACCTGCCAGGTCGTTGAGACACGAGAAGTCATTTCGCCACAACATTCTCGAAGTGCTTCAGTGAATGTAGTGGTAAACTCCGAATGTTTTGCGTGAAATAAGTGTTAAAGCTCGGAATGTTTATTTTAGATATACTAAA